CCTCCCCCTCCCCCTCCCCCTCCCCCAAGTTCATCCACTTGCATGTGTATCGCCCTGAGGTTGAATTAGTTACTATCTTTCACCAGTCATGCATAGTGAGTTTGTTCCAGTGAAAGATATGCTATTTTCAATATGATTAAATGAGCACTGCCAGGATGTTATATCTGGATGTTTAGAGAAAAATAGCATATTGAATTTTGTGCTTGCTAAATGGAACTTAATTTAATGTGGACAGGAAATGGAGACGGTTCAAAAGGAAGTAACTCTCCTGATGGGAACAAAGCCAATGACTTTGCTTCCCAAAAATCTCATAGGGTAAACTTTGATTGGAGAGAGTTTAGGGCAAATTTATTTGCTCAGGAGAAGGTGAACGTTCTTTACTTATTGGGCTATATATCTATTTTATTTTGAATGTTATAGTTACAAAGCTCTAGAAAAATGACTTTTAAATGTTATTAGCACTCTGTTCAACCTGTTATTTGTCATCCTGGTAGTAGATCTTATGATGGTCCAGGGTAGCAGCATTAATTCCTCTTTGATTCTACCCTGTGTAGCTTGTTCATGAATGAGCTGTTCCCTGTAACAAAAAGAAATCGATTTCATGTAAGTAAATTCTGATCTGCTGGGTTCTCACTTCTCACATAGAGGCTCTGGCATATCAGAAAAAGGCAAGTAACTTAATTGAAATGGGAACCACTTTATTTTATTTTGTATGTTCCTTCCCTGTTTCTATGAACAATTGGAAAACGCTGAATTTCCCTTGAGCTCATGACATCTGATGTAGTCAGGTCAACAAAATTTACCTACAGCTTATCATCAAGTTCTTTTGTCCCTTTTTACCCCTTCTGAAAGAAACAGTGCTGTTTTGTAGCTATGATGGGTCTTGTAATTGAGGTCGACCAGATGAAGCCATAAAGATGTATGGCTTCCTATCAGATTGGTTTATTCACATAGTGACGAGTTGAAGATGGACTCCATGTCCTCACACCATGAAAAATAAGATAATTAAATTGATGATGTTTAAATCTATGCTGTATAGACTTCAAAATTTACACTTGTAATGTTTTCACAGGCAGGGAAGGCAGAATCTGATGCTCACAACCAAACTGGGACACCCCAGGAGTCAAAACCCCTTGGCCTGAAATGGGCCCACCCTATTCCTGTACCTGAGACTGGCTGTGTCCTTGTTGCCACAGAAAAACTTGATGGAGTTCGAACCTTTGAAAGAACTGTCGTTCTTCTCCTCAGATCTGGAACCAGACATCCACAAGAGGGACCTTTTGGAGTTGTCATAAACCGCCCACTTAACAAGAAGGTCAGGCACATGAAGCCCACTAATATGGAATTAGCCACCACTTTTGCTGATTTTTCTCTTCATTTTGGGGGACCCCTCGAGGCAAGCATGTTTTTATTAAAAACAGGGGAGAAAACAAAGCTTGAAGAGTTTGAAGAGGTAATTCCTGGCCTGTGTTTTGGTGCTAGAAACAGTTTGGATGAAGCTGCAGCACTTGTGAAGAAAGGGGTGCTGAAGCCTCAGGATTTCAGATTCTTTGTTGGTTATGCTGGGTGGCAGCTAGATCAGTTGAGGGAGGAGATTGAATCAGATTATTGGTATGTGGCTGCATGTAGTTCTAATCTGATTTGTGGGGGTTCATCAGGTTCATCATCAGAAAGTTTATGGGAGGAGATTTTGCAGCTAATGGGTGGTCATTACTCGGAACTAAGCCGGAAGCCTAAGCGGGATGTGTAGGTAATTATTATGAGCCATCGGTGTTCCCCAAATCAATAAACCATTCCTGAAGCTATAGCCAGATATATAACTAAGGTAATGAAGTTAAATGTACAGAAACTCACATCTTTGTTAATTAGAATCTCTTTTTTCTCCTCTCATTTCCCCTTAAAAACCCAGAGAATTATGGCTCTTTTATGTTACAGTGATTATTTAAGAAAAAGTTAAGCTGGTCTTTTTGCTGTAAGAAATACATCTGTAAAAATTTTCGGGTGAAAGTAGCCGTAGGCCTAAGGGCTGAGCATTGTGTTCATAAAAGAAAATCTGGAATTGAAGTGCCCACCACTCTCAACTTCCCGTTTAAGCCTGGCAAGCATATGCACTAATCAATTCACCTGTAAGCTTTGCTATGCAGATTGATAGTACTTAAATGTACTTTTGGAGCTCAGATCGCCACCTATTCACTGAACTTTTTCCTAAAGAAAATTCTGTGTCAGTGGTACGGTTGTCAACTCTTGATCTTTTGAAAAGTTGCCTGCATCGATTGTCATCCCCAGTTAAATTGAGCAAAAGCAAAGAATGGCGAGTGTGAAACTGCTTTAATTTCCCCTTTGTCAACGGGCCTGAACATGAAACTGCCGACAGACAAATGTCCAAACTAGAAGCAGCCGGAATGAATTTATTTCTGTTCTAACCATTTCAGCAGTGATTTGAAAGATAAATTGGATACTTGACTACGTCTGAATACCGTATCTACTTATCAATCAACAACACTATCCACTATACAGAACAAAGTCCTACCTCTTTATGTATTTTCAAATAAATACAAGAACAAACCTCCATCCTTTTCTCCGTTAAAATGCAAGTTTACTTCAAAACGGCGTCTCACAATCCCCACTCTATCCCAGTGAAGCTCCAGCAGCACATCACATATGCTTTGTTTGATGGCATGGACAGACCCTTCTGACTGGAGGGTAAATTGTTCTGCAGGGTGAGGAGAAAGACACCAAAAGGATGCTGCCTTAAGGCATGATGGAGAAGAATTACCCTTTGTGTCATCTGTTATGATGTAGCTGCTTATAAACGTCAAGGTTATCTTTGGTCCCCGATTTCTCGAGACGTGCTTTACGCACAGCCTGCTGGATCTGTCTCTCGTGCTCTTTGAGTATTTCTTCCATGTTTCCCTCAGGAGGCATCAATGGTCCAGAGTAATGGATCCTGTTTTTCCTGGGAACAAACCCCTGAAACCAGATTTTCTTTTTTGTCAAATGATCAGGCATAACACAATAGCAGTTCAAATTAACACAGAAAAAGAAGGATGAAAAGCTACGTGGGGAAAAATGGAGAGTAAAGAAAGAAATATGCACTGTCAAATTTGAATGTCTGACATGCTTGTAACTAGGGTAACATACTATCTAAAACTTGCAATTTGTTTCGAAATCCACAGCTATCAATTGTATTGTAATGCATAAAACTTCAACTCCTATTGCTGGACAAGAGTTTGCTGGTAGCGGAAACAATATGAAGAGTCTTAAAATTATGGCAATTTTTCTCGAACTGTTCTCCATGAGTAAATAGCTTCCTTGCACATCAAAATCCATATTCATATATAAGGGTGGCAGTTGGATGAATGTATCCGTTATGATTTTAACATTTAACTTTGTTGAATATAGAGAAACAAATTTGAAAGATTGACGAAGGTGGATGATTCTTTACCGCTGAAGAATCTATGCTAGGAGCTCTTTCCTTCTTCTTAAGGGAGGAGCTAGATATCTCTCCTGATTGCGACATGCGAGATTTATTTGACCTCAATTCTGGATTATTTTCTGTACAATCTACACTCTTATTTAATGACAATCCTACTGCAGAATGGTGAATCACTGAAGCAGAATGCTTGAGACTATTCTTCTTCGATACTCTAGGAGGCTCAAATCGGAAGCTAGAACTTCCATCCTCCGGGATATTATATTTATAACTGCTACATATAGTTTTTGGCTGTCCCTGAGCAGTGAATTCTGAAGTGGGAGCTTTCTTAGTATCTCCTGAACCCCTTCTAACAGATTCTGGTCCTCGTCCTTTTACTGCCTCTGCTTTTTGCCTGAAATTTAAAATTAAAATGTGTATTCAGAATGTTGTTTAAGATTAAATTCGTACTGTTATCGTGTCATACCTGATTGAATTTATTTTACTTGTGAAATTGCTAATGAGCGTTGTGTAAGATAAAATTTTCCCTCAAGATGTTATGATAATGTTACTTGTCACGTACCTTCTTGCTTCCTGATCTCGCATCTTGGCATCCAGTTCCTTGCTTGGAGGATATTTTGGTAGACTAGATGGATCAGACGGGAGGGGTTCTATTCTAAAGAACTGTAAGTTAAAATTTCAATAATAAATAAATCCATCTAACTCAATCCACTGCTAGCAGGTCCAAACACTCTTCAGAGGCAATCAGTTCATTATAACATTTGCATTTTCATTTCATCAAGCCAAATTCAGGAAACAACCAGTACTAGTGCTGTCTTTATGCTATGTTCAGAATATAAGATCAAAATATTTTAAACCGAAAAAATCAATTCTATAGGTTTAAGTAAGCTTTTCACAAGAAAATGGTTTGCGAGTCAACTATGTTGCCAGCAATTTTTTTGTGTCTGCTGGAAGGTATATGATTATAAATTCATACCATAAGTTTGATGTTCATGACTCCTTATGCAGATTGCATGAAGAAGAATATGATAGGAATCTGGTCTAAAATTAAATAAAACATTAGAAATAATTACTTCACTTCGAAGAGCTGAAGTGGCTGATCCTCTATCTTGTGGTTCCATTGACAGGAGCTTGTCAACAAGTGTCAAAGCTGAAGGAGGGAAATTTTTGAATGTCTCAGCAATACGGCGGATGTAAGGTTGCTGAGGCTTGAAACTAGTTGCATGTGGAAACTTTTTTTTCGTCCAGTAGGCCTCAGAGGGCGAGCCACAAAGCTTAAAAATCTTATGCATTTGCTCTACCTGTAATCATTAAGATGATAGTTCGTAAGAGCAAATACAATTCTGTGGACTGATGATAGATAGAAATCACAATGTCTTCTGATTCTCTGTAGGTGGTCCAAAGTCATGCATTGGGAAATAAATGGCACAGAGACACATTTTCTTATGATAATTTCCCGTAGGTGCTTAAATGACCATCTTCAACTTCTGTGAAGATATGAAAACGATGTAGACCATAGAAGGAAGTTGAAGATTCCAAAGCATAGAAGACTTGTAGTGCTTGTTGCCTAGTATTGGCTAAGATGCAAGTAAGATAACCATATATGCAAATGAGCTTACTTCTGTTCTTCCAGGCATGATAGGCTTGCCAGTGAATAATTCAGCAAGAATGCAGCCGGCACTCCACATATCAATAGCAGGTCCATACTCTGTAGCACCAAGCAAAAGCTCCGGTGCCCTATACCAAAGAGTTACTACGCGACTTGTTAAAGGCAGACTCTGATCGGGCTGATAAGAAGTTGCCAGACCGAAGTCTGCAATCTTGAGAACTCCATCATTGTTTATTAGAAGATTTGAGCCCTTGATGTCTCGGTGCAAGACACCGTGTTTATGGCAGTGTTCAAGTCCACGTAGAAGTTGTTGCATATAGCACTTTATCTGCAAGCACGAGTAATTTCCTTGTAAGACTTAGACATGAATGGCAAGTTGATAAGTTATATGACTTCCATGGTAGCAGAAACTAAGAGAAGCCATTTTCCAAATATGGAAAAAATCATAAAATTGAACAGATAAGATCATTGGTACCTGAGCTTCTGTATACTTGATGCTAGGATTTGCTGCAAGCCCAGCAAGGTCATGTTCCATATACTCAAAGACAAGGTACAAGCTCCCTGACATCCTCGAAGTGACTATTCCTTCGAGTTTCATAACATTCAGATGGTCAAGCCTGCGCAAAATAACGATTTCCCTAGCCATGAAACGGACACTTTCCGGATCCATATTGACAAACCGCACCTTCTTCATTGCTACAATTTTTCCAGTTTCAAGGTCACGAGCCTTGAATACAGTGCTGTAAGTTCCTTGTCCAATCTGCACAACATTTCGTTTGAAAAGCAATACATAAGAAGACCTTAAAATGTCGACATGATACAATCTAGACTGTGTCTTGATCTCCCTCGTGTTTTCTTACTAGAAATTAACTTTGCCTGCACTTACGCAACTAACAGACCAGTATAGTAAAGATTTCCTTAAATCAGAATTTCTGCTCCATAAACGAGTCTCATTTTACAGGACTGATACAGCTCTTATATAAATGATTGTCTTCTTCTTCTCTAGCATCTTAACATTTTATCTAATCTTTCTTGCATTAATTTGGACTGATAGTAATACCATTTATTTCCTTCTAGTGCTTTCATACGATTATTTTCGGAAGCACATAATAATATTATCCTAATGCTAAATGTTAACAAGAAGAGATGCTCCATGTTGCAGTTTTGTTCCAACCAAACAATGAAATAAAACCCTGACAGTCATCGAAAATAAATTATTTCATGTCACGTTATCTAATTCAACAGGCAAGTAAACATAAGTTTTACAAACTGAACCTTGTCTAGCTTCTCAAAAGAGTCTGCTCTTCGAGGCAGCCACCCTTTGACGGCTTCTCCAGCAGCTGCTGTTAACCATTGTGGCCATGCTTCCGTTTCAGCGGAAGGACGCATGCTAATCATCATACTAATGATACGTGGTTGGTCATCAATGGACTCTGAATCCATTGCTACCGATCCATGACGGCCTTTCTTCTTCTCATCAACAAGTTTCGTTTTCTTTCCTCCTCCTTCCAATGAAACAATAACATTCCCAACATGTTCCTTCGACAGATGACGAGCATCTTTTCGGCCAAGAACATCTACCAGAATCTCTTCTCTAATGAATATTGTGGGAGCAACCAATTGCACAGAAGACTTACCCACCTCTATCTGCCTTTCATTCTTATTGATATTTACATCTTCTTCTGCAGCTCGTTTTGAGCAAATGCTGCCCATAATCTCACCTCAAAAATCACCTTCTATCCTGACAGAAACCCTTCAAAAAATGCCTAAACCACCACCACCCTTTGCCGTATTGCTGCAATGAAGTAAATGGGCACCCTTGCATTTATGCTGGGAGCCCAAGTTTACCATTTTTGTCATCTCCCGAATCAACGGAGCATTAAAAGATCGACAAATATCTCAACGTGTTTGCTCTTAAGAACCAAGATTTGTTTTTACCATCTTAGGAAATACAATCCCTCTATGCAAGCTTACAAGACATTGGGCAAAACACAGGAGCACAGAATTTCCAAATGAGAATGATGTTGTTGATATCAAGAAAGCTATAACAAGAATATCAAAGACAAGATTAAAGATATGAATGCGAAATAAAGACAATTCAACAAAATCCAAAGAACTGATTGTAAAAGAGTTTCAGACAAGGGAAATAAATCTATAATGCAGGAATCCTGGCACGTCGTTCTGGGTTACAGTTATTTTTTTCCCTCCTTAATTGATTAAAAAATTAAATTCCTAGTTTTCCTTTCTTTTTTTGGTGACTTTTAGCTCAGTAGAGATTACAGACAAAAGGGTGGATATTAATGGAAAATAGAAAGATTTTTCTTAAGAATATTAAAGATAAGGATGTTTTGAAAGAGGAACACAAGAAGGTTTGTGGAACTGGATAGTCCCTGAAAGTGCGAGAGGTCAAAGATTTTTGGGACTTGACAGGTTCTGTGTGTGATTTTTCAGTTTTCCTGCTAGCCATCGCCATTAAATATATTCAACAAGTTGTCAATTTTATTATGTTTTATTTAAGTAGATTTTATTTCTTTTAAAATCTCAGTCCGTTTCAAAAATGCAATCTAAATTCAGCTCGGAATATTTCGATTTCTTTCCTGTTATTCTGTTTTGGTTGAATAATATTTTTGTGAAAGAAAAAATAATTTTTTCTTTAACATTATTGATTGAATAATAGATTTTATAATTTTTTATAATTTATTTTTTATTTGATTATTTTAGTTTTATAATCCATGTAATGAATTTAGTAATTTAATTTAATTAATTTAATTTTTTATTTATTTTTTTAATTTTATCATTCAACATTTTAAATATTTGACTGATTATAAATTAAATTTTATTTTTTTTATTTTTTTTATAATTTAAATTACGAGTTTTATAATTTAACCCAAATAAATTTAGATCATTAATTTTATTGTGTTTTTATTTTAGACTAATTTTTTTTTAATTTTATTTTTTAACAATGAATTTATTGAGAATTTAGTTTTATAATTTATTTTTATTTATTTTATTTTAAATTATTATTATCTCATCATTTGGGTATCATTTGGGTGATAGATTTGAACTAAGATTAACTTAATTCAATCCAAAATATTCTAAACTTAACTTTTTTAAATATTATTTTAAATTATTTTATTCAAATTATATTTTTATCAGTTATTTATATTGCTTTTAAACCTATTAAATAATTGAATTATAGTGATTTAACTTATATATTTTAGTTGTATTTAAAATTTATATCATATTATTTCAAGTTAATTTATTTTTTAAATTTGAATGAAAATTATGTTTAATATATATATAACAGAAATGAGAACCTTGATATACACAACGCATTTCTTTATTTCTCTGAATCTCTAACAAGAAAAACTGAGAGTTGTTGAGAGGTTTGGTAAAATCTTGAAAAGCCAGAATTGAAAGGGAGAGAGGGCAGCTTTAAACTCAAACGTGCATAGCACTATGCTATGAGTCTTCAGTTTAACAAGTGACACGTGTTTCTTCAAGTCAACTTTAATTTTCATACAACTACTTGTCTTGCCAAAGCATTATTAAACTCCGCGACCGCAAACATGACTTTGCGTCTGTTCTTATTTCGAATTATTTTGATATTGATTTGTTTAAATTCAAATAATTAAATAAGTTAATTTTTCATTTCATTGATTTAGTTAATCTTAATTAAAAGAAATAATACATTCAAGTTGGTGTTTGTGGTTCAAGTTTTCTATTGGTTGGATGGAAGGGTTGGAAGAGAGCGTTTCAACTGTGTTAACTAACCTATTCCCTGGAATCGAGTTCACTGGGGCTTGCTTGACTGGCCAAAGCCTATCCGGATTAGAGATATTATCCGAAAAAGGGATGTTCGTGCTATCCGGAAATTATGCTGTTCATTTGGTTCGAACCCTCTCCGAGTGGTGTCCAATATGGATACCTACGTGGGAATGGATCCGAGTACATGTGTACACCGGATACATCAGGATTTGTATCTCTTAGTTCAGAATTTTTGTCTCGTATTTTTCAACCTTCTTTGTGTTAGCGATCTCCACTTATAAAAAATGTTACATGGCTTCCAAGAACAGAATTATGTGTTCAATTTGAAAGTTAAGATGGTGCTGCGGAGTGCCCTCTATGAAAGAACAAGTGGTGATGCATGGATGACAGGTACCATGCAAGAACATCCAAAAGCAATGAGGAAACACACGTGTGCTGATGTTCTTCGTTGCATGCAATTTTGTTGTTGATCATTTAGTACTATATGTCAAAAGCCAAAGCTCCTCCTCCTTATCTTAATCTTTATTTTAATCTGGTGGTCATTTCTTGAAAATCAGACTCACCATAGTCTTTCAGCCATGGATTTTATAAACTGTGTGTTGAATTGGGTAGTGCTTCCTGCTAGCTTGGTGATGCTGGCCTGTTCATGGCCAGCCTTACGCTTTATCAATACATGTGAGTGGCTCTACAAATCTTTCTACAGTGAGGATATGGAGGATAAAGTTGTTATCATCACTGGAGCTTCTTCTGGCATAGGAGAAGTAAGTAGCTCCCTTTCTTCTCGAAATCAAGATTTGGCTCAGTAGAGATCGCCCTGTTCTCCCCCACCCTAGATGTGCTCGTTTTGCTGATTTAAGTATTTTAGTGCATTTTTTCTCTGTTCTTCATTAGATAGCCAACTGAATCCAGGAATTCTATCTTGGGAGTCTGATCTTCAAATTCCATTCAAGCAAGGGAGAGGATTTTTATAGGATGTAGATAGATAGGCTATGTCCTTGCTAATCTATTGAACTAAGGAATTTTAGCTTATAGAATCTGGAGATCGGAAAGCCACTGCCGCATTGAAGGAGAGGGCTTCGAGAAAAATTGACTAGAGACTTAGAGCAAATGGACTTGCTATGTAAAGAACGTGATTCAATCGAAGTGATTTGATTGATTAAATATTAAAGCCACAAAGATAGGAGACAAGTATATGTACGACAGCTTTTATTTCAACCCAAGAAGTCTTGAAATTGCATGAGTTATCCAAAGAAATGTATGAGGACAGCTTCTGTTGCTGCAAAGGTTAAGACTATGATGTGATTTGGATACCAGTTTTCTCTGATGAATTTTTACCACATGCTTGATGTTCGGATCTCACTGTTCCACCATGTTAGCTCATAGCAAAACGTAAATTATTTGCAGGGATCTCAGTGATAACCTGAAACCATTGTGATTTTATTATGTCTGCAATGGACACATTCTGCAAACTCACTAGTAATCGTCCATGAAACCAGTAGAAAATTGATGGGGACATCGGACCCGAAATATTATTTATGCACGCGAATGATCATAGACGATGGAGGATAACCCAAACAATTAAGAGATTGGGCTTTAACTTATATTTTGAGTTTAATTTATGTGAACTTTTAGTTGAGTTTTATTAATTTGACTTTATTTGTTGGGTTTGATTTAATTATTGTTGGGTATTTTATGTAGTGGGCCATAAGCCCAATCACTTATTCTAGTTAGGATTTTAGTATAAATACCCTACTTTTCTAAATATTAAGGACTTTTGATGATTAATGAAAAATATTGCAGATTTTGCATATCTCCAATCCCTTTTCTCCTCTTTCTTTGCTTTCTCTTCTTACTTCTTTTCTAAAAGCTTATTTCTATTCCCGGCTTTAATTCTTTTGGTTTGTTGTTCCGCATCAAATTTGGTATCAGAGCAAGACTTTTAATTGTTCTTACAATTAAACGGTCTATAATGTTTATATTAAACCCTAAATCGGTTTGATCTAAAAAAAAAAAATCCCTGTTCAAAACCCTACTATTCTGATTACAAAACCTACTATTCACTATTCATTGTTCAAATCACTGTTCATCATCTCCATCATCAAACTGGACGCCGCTACCCACAACACCCATCACAGCCAACATTAATTCGGGTTTACAGCAGCAAAGGCAGCGTCTCAGCCAGTGTCGTCCTCTTCAGCGCTAACAACCGTCCACAATACCATCGCCGCCGCCACATAACACACCATCCTCACGAGAGAGCAGATTAACAACAGCCGCAGAAATCAACATTGCTCACTGTTTATCATCAACGACAACAATCAACAGCGGCGCCTCAACCTATCACAGCCAGCACCGACTGGTGGTTCACCGCAACAAAGGCAGCACAACAAATCTTCATCTGCCACCGTCCATCATGCCATCGCCTTTAGCAACCATAACAGGTCGCCCACGCCAGCAGCAGTAACTCCTCGTTAGTGGCAGCGCCTCAACCAGTGTCATCCTCTCCGCGCCATCAACAGATCTCCATCTGCCACCGCCCCCAGTGTCGTCGCCCTCCACCGTCAGCCACAGGTAGAGCAGTAGAACCGACCGGCGACAACCACCACCTTCAACAGACTACAACTATCCTCGCCTTTAGCAATCACGTCGCGCCGCCAACAACAACAACAAAGGAGACTCAACAAAGCAATTGCAGTGCAGAAGAAAAGAGTTAAGGTGAAATTAATTAACTCTGCCATGTCATCTACCATGTCAACTTCCTGGACCCATGTCATCCACCACGTCATCACTCCAAAGCCATGTCATCACCACATCAGTCAAGTGATGCTACACCAGCTGCCACATCGTTAGTTTCTATCGTCTCAGCTGCCATGTCCATGACTGCCCTTTGCTGCCACATGTCTGCCATGTCATTGTCTTCGCCACATCATCAACATCAAATTCCAACATATTACTCCGAAGCCGTCTAGTCAGTAAATTACTCTTCTTTTTGATTTGTTGATTTTACTTTTGGTATTGCACTTGGTCATTAAAGTTGTCATTAATATTACTTTTGTGCCAAAATAAAAAAATAAAAAAATCACACTTTGCATTTTTATCTGTTCACTCTTGCTTAACCATTTTCTTCTTTATATTTAGCAACTGGTTGTTGAGCTTGTTGAAGTTAGTAAAAAAATTGTGATCATTATTTGATTAATCATTTACACTTAAAAGGTTTAGCATTGTGTGTTTATAATTTTCCTGGCATAATTTGTTCTTGATTAATCTTCATAAAAAAAAAATTAAAATTAGCTTTATTTTTGTATTGTGATTTTACATGCAAGAACCATTTGTGATCTCAATTCCAGTTATAAGTTAGTGTTGCAGGCATTTATGTCATGATCATTTAGTGTCCAAGCTTAGGTTTACACTTACTGTAGACTCAACTTTTAGTGATACTCTCAACGATCATGTAAAGGGAACTGCAAATTTAAGTGATCAACATGTTTAAGAGAATTGAGTCCCAAGAGAGTTTTCGAATAAGGCACTCAAAGACTAAGGAACATCATAAGAACAATCATTATGGACAAGTTCACTCTGAGCGCCACCAGTATGACCATCATTTAGGTTACTCTAAACATGATGACTTTGATGAGCGAGTCTTGAGTCCTAGCAAAATAAAACCCCCCACTTTTGATGGTCGTCATGATCCTTGGATATTTGATATGTGGATTCGTGATATGGATCGATTCTTTGAGTGGCATAACTTGTCTGATAATAAAAAAGTTGGATCTGCTAAGATGATGCTCATTGATGAAGCTAAAATTTATTGGAGAGATGTTGAGGATTGCTTAGAGATGAGAGGTAAACCTCCTATAACTGATTGGATCAAAATGAAACAAAAAATTCAGGAGAAATACCTACCCCAGTTTTATAGGAATAAACTTTTAGACCAATGGAACAATCTAAGACAAGAGAATAAGTATATCAATGAGTATATAACGCAGTTCAACGATTACATGATTAGATGTGCCATAAGAGAGAGTGAAGCCATGACTTTGCATAGATTTTGTAGAGGCTTAAATGATGATCTTAGAAAAGGAGTTATATTTCAAGGTGTATCTACCCTTAACCAAGCTTATACCTTAGTTCAAGATTACAAGTTGGTCACGAAGAATCATTGGATGAATCATCAGGGCTCTTATAGTATCACTACTAGGTCCCAATTCAGAAGTAGTGATTCTTTGTTAGGTGCTCCACCCAACAAACCTAATCTTAGCAGCGCCCAACTTTGTAAGAAAGATAAGGGCAAATGAGTTGTCAATGAAGTATCGAAGGTGAGTTCAAAGGATAAGTGTACTAATTGTTTAGGTTTTGGTCATATCTCTTTAGATTGCACCTCTAAACCTTTAGTTATCCAAAAACATAAGGATAGAGGTAAAGAGGAATATTGTAGTGTTGAAGTGTATGAGCCTAATCTTGAGGATTTTAGTGACCTAAATGATGAGGATGTGCAAGAAGAGGGACCTAACACAATAAGTCCACATGAGCTTGAAAATGAGGTTAAGAAAGAGTCTGATATGTTTGCTTTAATGGTAAAGGAAGTTTTAGAGAACTCTTTAGTGGAATCACCTATAAAGATAAGTATGGTCTTAAAAGAGTCTCATAATAATAGTCTCCCTGAATTACCTAATTCCTCACCCCACAGGCTTGGTGTCCAGCACATCATAAGTTTAGAGCAACATCATGTTGAACTTCTTGACCCCTTACCTCATGCACGTGATGAGGATGAGGAAGATGAAGATAATCTTAGTTTATTTGATTGTGTCCACACCATATCTACACAGGTTTCAAACAATGTTTGTCTCATTCCACACCCTCAATCATTTAGTATTCATAGTTACAAACCTGAGAAGCCTACAGAACACCTTCCAATATCTTCTCACGATAGAATGTCTAAGTCAGCTGAGTCGTTACCATATAGGGTTCATAATTTGCATATTGAGATCATGAAACAAATTCAAGCAAGTAATGAACAATACAAATTTCGAGCTGATTTACTTAAGTATCATGATGCACTTAATGTTGGAGATTATTTCATAATACAGATTAGACCTGAACGGTGTCCTTTGAAAACCGATCATAAATTGCAAGTAAGTAGTGCTAGACCATTCAAAGTGTTGCAAATGATTAAATCAAATAATTATGTCATTAAATTGCCATTAAACTTTGATATTAGCTCTACTTTTAACATAAAAGACTTCAGTATTTATAAAATACAGCCTATCCCTGATGCTCCTTTTGATACCCTTACCTCATTATCCATATCTTTGCCACAAAAGGAACATATTAATGCTACTTTGAATGCACAAGTTGTTTTTACCAGGGATGGTGAACTTCAGCAAATCCCAGTATATGAGCTCGACGACCAGATTCAGATTATACTTGGATTATCAAAGAGACATCACAACAGCTTGATCTTTATCTTTGAGAGTGTTATCGGAGTCGCCTTGGTCTATACTCGACAGGGTCGAGTTCTTCCAACCCTAGGAGAATTGATGGGGACACCGGACCCAAAATATTATTTATGCACGCGAATGATCATAGACGATGGAGGATAGCCCAAACAATTGAGAGATTGGGTTTTAACTTATGTTTTGGGTTTAATTTATGTGAACTTTTAGTTGAGTTTTATTAATTTGGCTTTATTTGTTGGGTTTGATTTAATTATTGTTGGGTATTTTATGCAGTGGGCCATAAGCCCAATCACTTATTCTAGTTAGAGTTTTAGTATAAATACCCTACTTTTCTAAATATTAAAGACTTTTGATGATTAATGAAAAATATTGCAGATTTTGCATATCTCCAATCCCCTTTCTCCTCTTTCTTTGCTTTCTCTTCCTGTTTCTTTTCTAAAAGCTTATTTCTATTCCCGGCTTTAATTCTTTTGGTTTGTTGTTCCGCATCAAAAATGATGTATTCAATTTATGTATTAAGATAGAAATCAAAACATTGTTCATGCACCGGAATTAAATTACACTAGCTATAGAATTCTGAACCGTGAACAGAACAGAAGCTTACTTGACATCATCCTCGAAGGCCATTACCTGAACTAAACTTCTTTATTACCAGCTCTTCATTCACAAATTTTTTTCTTCCCATATATGCGTGGTCACTATTTTATTACAGCTGCTGTGTGTTTAAAAGAATCATTGTAGTATGAATTATGTTATGAAGTTGCCGGTTTCCAATTGCAGCAAATTGCATATGAATATGCAAAGAGGAAAGTGAATCTTGTGTTGATTGCACGTAGAGAGCACAGACTCAGAGGGATCCGTGAGAAAGCTAGGTATATTGGTGCAAAGCAAGTCATGATTATGGCAGCAGACGTAGTCAAGGAAGATGACTGCCGGAGATTTGTCAATGAGACCGTAAGTCACTTTGGCCGAGGTATGTCTCACTTGCATCGCCGTAAACTAATAAATCTTAACCGATATAACCAATAGATTCGGTTTTCTTTTAAAAGATTTCTCAGCAGCATAAGTTTTACTCTTTCCATTTAAAAACTAACAGAAACCTTTCATTCTGCATTTCTCTTTATATTTATTTATTTAAGTTTTGTGCAGTGGATCATCTTGTCAACACAGCAAGTTTGGGGCATATCTTTTACTTTGAAGAAGTTGGGGACACCTCTGTGTTAAAACATTTGTTGGTAAGGGCTATAAGCTTACATGAATGAATGGATAGTTTGGAGTTCTGGATGACCGCTAATCTTAGAATCTTCAAAACTTTTCCTGAAAGATTCTTAAATTTGATTTTTCATTATTAGGACATTAATTTTTGGGGCAATGTCTATCCCACTTATGTGGCTCTTCCATACATACATCAGAGCAATGGGCGAGTCGTCGTTAATGCAGCAGTTGAAAGCTGGTTACCTCTACCTAGAATGAGCTTATATGCTGTAAGTATGCATAAATCTAAGTGTATGAAGTTTGTTTTCTCAGATGCCAAGCAGGTTAAATTTTTGTTTTTTTTC